TATCCTTAGAAGGAAACAGTTAACTTGGAAATCAGCTGGACCGCTGCAAACGAGAAACTCTACAGTGTTAAGGCACTATGTACTAAGGTAGCTAAGGGCATTGAGATGAAGATTTCATTTTCAGAAAATAATAAAGTTGCTAAAGCTGAGATCTGTCCTCATGCCATTTAATCACATTATTACTACATTGGCCCTGGAGTCGCCAAGAACCAGCTCACTGTCTGGGCTGTTCTGTACCCCACACTGTGATTCAGGAAACCCAAGTCTGTTACAAAAGCCAATTATTGAGAGGTGAGAGTCCCTGGGCCTATCTCCTTCCAAGGTGACCATGCCCTGGCAGAGAGCCCCTGAACACCAAGACAGCATCTGGCTTCTAGGGTAATACGAGCTGAAATGCTGATCTATGTGCCCAGGTCAGAATCACAGTGGCAGACATTTCTGAGGCTTTTCCTGTTCTGCTCAGACTGCTGGAGAGATGAAGAAAGGACCTGACAGCTAGCAAGTTCTCTCTTGCAGCAGAGGCCAGAGGGAGCTCCAGAATGTTAACCATAGTACACATAAGTAAGACGAGAGACGATAACTAAGCTCTCCACCGTCTGGCTCCCTCCATATTCTCCCTCAGATATCACTGGAAAGATTCACAAATAGCCAGCATTATTTACTGCTGGGGAGGAGAACTGTGATAGTGGTGGGTGAGTGTTTTTACTAAAATTCTTTAACAGCTTCTGAGCATCCTTTGGTATTGGGTATATGAAAGGTAAACAAAATGACAAGAGAAGACAATGATGGTTCTTTGAGGATGGTGCTATCACTTAGTAGGCCTCTTTCTGAATTACAAGTTTCAGATATCACGTTCTCTCATAAATTCTTCTGCTTAGCTTGCTGGTGTGTCTAATCCTCCCTCTGACCCAAATAAATTGTGGGTCATTTGATTGGATGGGCTCTTCATCCAGCTCACAGTCCCATAATCTCTGTTTCTCTTATTCCAGGACCCTCTTCTTTTTAGAGTATCCAGCTCCTGTACGGACATAGGAGATGGGAGGTCACCCAAGACTGGATTAAAAAAAATGACCAAAACAAAATCTTGACTCCATCAAAAAGCTGGATCTTCATATCTGTGCATACCCTCCTCTCCCTGCCCAACCTCCAATGTCTGCTAATTTCTCCCCTTCACATCCTCTTCTCTGGGCAGTCAACCTCTCTTGATTGACTGATCAAAGGTATATAAAATGAAGCAAGGGGTTATTTCTGTTCACGGCCCCCAGATTGCAGAGGCAGCTTCATTCACTTGCCCCAACCCATCCTTCACACTAGCACCTCTTAAACATTCATTTCTTCCTAGTTGTTTACCTGAACCCTGATAGGTGCTTCCACAGACATGGTCTGCTGCAATCTCTACTGCATCTTGGTGGTGATGCCGGATCATTCTTATTGACTGGATGAGGTAACTGAAGTTCAGTATGGGCAGGCACTTCCCATTGGTAACAGAACTAGAACTCAGACTCGTAGCCTTCAATTCTAAAATTAGCTACTTTTCCCATGGATCCTTGACTACTTCCTTTTAGGTAAAATGACACTACTTGCCCTGCCCTTTGGGTTTTCCTCATGGTTCCATCCTTCGCTTCTCCTCCTATTCAAATGTTTATCAAACTTCAGCCATCGATTCCTCACCTGCACTGACTTTTTTTTTTTTTTGCTACAATCATACACTGTTACCTCTCTTTTTATTTACTCAATGTTTTTTTACATTGCTTCTCTTAAAAATATTTTCAAAGAAAAAATACATTAATGAAAATGCTCTGAATTCCTACTACAGTTAAAACATAAGTTTTACATGCCACAAACAAATAACATGAAAAGTGAATACAATAAAATCACAAATGCTAATGTTATTATGTCTCATTTGGGTATAGTTGCCTGCCAATTATTTGAGATTAGTCTTGTTCTCTTTTTGTTAAAGAAAAAACTAAGGTTTTATCAGTTACTTATCACTATCATATTGTTGGATAACAAACAACTCTCAAATCTCAGTGGCTTACACCAACTCATTTTTTCTCTCACGGATCTGCAGGTTGTCTGGGGAGGCTCTGCTTTAGGCTAAGGGTCAGGTTTAAGTCTTTTCTGGAAGGCTTTCTTTGGGAGACTTCTGACTCTCCAAGGCATGCTCCTCTCATGAAGACGGCAGATGCCTCACAAATAAATACAAACCATGTACACATGTTTAAAAAGCCCCCTTGTGTTATGCTCACAAACATTCCAGTAGCCAAAAAGCTGTCAAACCAGCTCAACCTCAGTGGAACAGAGAACGATTTTCTTCCCATGGGGTGGGGTGTGCAGTAAATGGAGATTAAATATTTGCTGAATAACAAATATACTCTACCACAAAGGATGAAAAGGTGTAGAAATAGCAAAACAAACTTTCTGGTATAATTGAAAAGAACTGGAAAAGGACTGCCTTAGACCAATCATAATTTATGTCCTAGTGGTGAGCTCCCTGCTATTCTGACCAAAATTAGAGTCCTTTTAGCAAGAAACAAGGTGTAGTACAGGTAGGTGGTTGTGGGGAGTGGCTGTTGGGTAGGAGAAAAATGAGTTTGCAGCAGTTTTTCAATTTCCTCCCTCTTTTGCAAGTTGCTTCTCTAATTCTGTATCTTTTCTTTTGTTCCTTCCCCTTCATGTTTGTTAAAAGAGTGAACTACATTAGCGATTTCTATTTCTTTTCACTTCTCACTGATAAGTTCACAACTATCAGTCTCCTACCCATAATTACTCCATGGAACTATTTTTTGTTTGGGTTTTGGTAATAACTTATCTAATATTCTTGCTGCCAAGTGCAATAGATCCCTTTTGACTCTTCCTTGTGGCTGTTCTTGGCAGTTGATACGGTTTGGCTGTGTCCCCACCCAAATCTCATCTTGAATTGTAGCTTGCATAATCCCCGTGTGTCATGAGAGGGACCCAGTTGGAGGTAATTGAATCATGGAGGTGGATTTTTCCTATGATGTTCTCATGATAGTAAATAAATCTCATGAGATCTTACGGTTTTATAAAGGGCAGATCCCCTGCACACACTCTCTTGCCTGCCACCATGTAAGATGTACCTTTGCTCTTCCTTTACCTTCTGCCATGATTGTGAGGCCTCCCCAGCCATGTGGAACTGTGAGTCTATTAAATCTCCTTTTCTTTATAAATTACCAAGTCTTGGGCATTTCTTTATAGAAGTATAAAACTGGACTAATACAGCAGTGCTAATCAACTCTTCTTGAATTGCTGTCTTTCATCCTTTTGTCATTGTGCCTGCCTCTTCTGATTCTTTGCTCTCAATAGTGTCCATGAGATCCCATACTATTTTAGAATACGTATTAACGTTTTTCACTAAAATATAACCTGAAAATTAAACACCACCTTATTTCGACAATCCTACGTAACTAAACATGTCAAATAATCCTGTTTACTTCTCTTTTGGATGCTCCAGGGGCCCTCTGTAGCATCCAAAAGTTAAGGGTTAGAAAAGACAATTTCGAAGCTGAAATTTGATATTGGGAAATCTACCAAATACGTTGAAAGCTTAAAACACTTAACAGAATTTCAGGTTACCGTAAGTCATCCATTTAGCTAAAATAGATAATTTAAATTTTGAAAAACAAAAATCTTTACTCATTAAGAGAGAAGACCAAGTTTTCAAAGCCATCTAACTCTTGTCCTTCCCTTCTTTTTTTGGAAGTTTATTCACAAGGCAAATAAAAATCTTTCATTACACTAAAATCTTGTTTAAGTGAGAGAAAGCCAAATTTCACCCTTGCATTAGTCAACTATTAATGTCAACCTCAATTTTTTGTAATGAAACCTTACAGACAAATCCATCCAATCTGAGTTTGACCATGAAGTGAGATTCTTATAAACCTTTTATAACCCTTTACACCTTCCACAATTTGTTCAAACCTTTAACTTTTAAGGAATTCTTTAACCCTCTAAACTTAGGCAGAAATTTACATTACCATGCCTTCTTATAATCTTTTACCAAAACCACATTTTACTCTCCTTACACACTTTGCATGTAAATCTATCCTCAGTAGTCTCAATTACATATTACAAAGTTAACTCTCAGCCATTTTAATTTTGGTTTAAAACCTGGTAAGTTATTTTAATTATGTATTAGGTGTGGATAAGATCTGACTCTCTCCAGCATAGTTGGGGGCGTGGTTAACTCCATATGTCCCCAGGCCTTACCAAACTGTAAAGCAGGCAAGTTGAACAGTTTTCAAAAGCCAAAGAAGCAGTTTATGACCTTAAACCATTTAGCAGGCCTAATATCTGAATTATTTCAGGTATAAACTGTATGTCTACATAAACTGCATGTCTACCCTAACAAGTACAGATTAAGAGAGCGGCTTTGCCAAGGTCCAGAAGCCAAAACAAGCAAATTGATGGAGTGAGTATAGAAATTGAAAGCACAGGTATTGTATGCAGCTTGGCCTGTATTAGAATCTGGCTCTGTCATTTAATCTCTCTAAGTCTTAATTTCCTCCTTTGTAAAATGGAAAAAATAATAGTGCCTGAACCAAAGGGTAATTGTGAACCTTAAGTAGGATTAATATATGTGCATTTACTTGGGATAGTGCCTAACTCTTGGCAAGTGCTTGATGAACGATCAATATTATTATTACTATTGTTGTTATTATTACAAAGTCTTCTTAAGAAGAGTCATGGGCTCTCAGATAACCTTTGCTTTCTTCTCCTACTTACTTGAACTTGCTAGGAGCATTCATCCTCCATCTCTGGGTTGTAGGTGAAGTCCTCATAGTGCTCACCTCTCTCGATCTCCTGGACCATAGATCTGGTGTCCCAGAAGCCCCAGGAATTGAGGTGCTTGTTGTTCCTTCAATAAAACCACCTCCCCATTCTCTCTCCATGGATTCCCCAACTCACAAGCTGTTGGAAGCATACACGTACCTCATCCCTGCCTTTCTTTGTTTTTCCCAAAGACTACTGTCAGGATCTTGGTTTTAAAACTATTTAATATTTGAGTCTAGGAAGAGTAGATAACACCAAAAACAAGGTATGGGTAGCTGATAACTTTGGCAGTGCTTACGTTGTTCTCACAGCTATGATCTGAGGTCTGTAGATGCCATACAGAGGTGAAACAATGTGGTATTTATCATGCATCTGGGTCAGTGCCTGGCATATACCAAATGCTTAATAAATGGTGGTTCCCCTCTGACCCTGAGAGTTCCAAGGTTTGGGGTGACTTGGGGATGATTCTAATGTCCCAACCCCACACACAAGTCTTCCTGTATGGAGGTCTTCTCCTAGGGTAAAAGAAGGTGCCACAGCCTTTCATTTCCTTCTCAAGCTCCAGTTTTATGCTTGACTTTGTCTATCTGTGGGAGTATTTATGTTTTCCTCTTTTCTTCCCTCTCTTCCATTCTTCCTGTCTTTCATTACTTTTCTTTATCAGTTTCTTTTACTATTTTTATTTTTTAAATTTTTTTCCTCTTCCTTTCTCCCTCTCTTTCTTGTGTTCTTTTGCTTTCTTCTTTCTCTCTATTTCTTTCCTTTCTTCTCTTTATTTTTCTGATTCTCCCTCCAATTATTTTTCTTCTATCTTTTCTCCCCCTTCCATCTTCTCTTTCCTTTCTTCCTCCTTCCCTTGCTTCCTCTCTCCCTTCCTCCATACTTTATTTTTTTTTCAATTGCTTTCCCTGGCAGCTTTAATATTTCCCTGACTTACTTTTCTTTCCTCTTTTTCTGTTACCCTCTCCTTTTCACTCTCTCTCATTCCTTCCGTTTCTTCTTTCAACATCTAACATGGTAATGTTTTGTGTTAAAAACCAAGGCAAGACAAAAATTACATTCATGTTCTTTCATAAAGAATATCATATCTTCACAGCAAGGCCAAGGGCCCAAAGGGAAAAGAAAGAGAAAGAAGAGGGGAATCCAAATGAATGCCTCCTAGATGTATTACTGCGCACGGGCTTTCCCAGACATCTTCCACTCCTTGTCTCGAAGCTTGGTTCGTTGAATTTTCCCTGTGGAAGTCTTGGGCAGGTTCAAGACAAACTCTATCTGTTGAAAAAAAAATTGGTCCAGGGTGGGTGGTCTGTGACCACAGTGGGTTGCATTTTTCAGTACTGCTGCAGGGTGAGGGGAAGTCCTTCAGGCTGGAGCCACTTCAGGGCAGCCCCTCTGTGCAATAAGAAGCTTCAGAAAGTGCTCTGGGATGAGGACAATAAGAGGTTGGCTAGAATTGGGCATAAAGGTCTTTGACATATTTTCAGACAGAGGAGGAGCAGCATAACAGACACAACATGGCACAGCAGTCAGCCAGTTGAGCCTTGACATCAGACTCTCTGGACCCCAGCTCCTCCTCTACCAATCACCTGGCTTTAACTAGGTCCTTGGCTTTGCTAAGACTAGTTTGCCTATTGAGTAAGCTGGAGGATAATAGCAACTTCATTGGGTGATTGTGTGGACAAAAGGAAATTATGCAGGCTAAGTTACTGGCATGGAGTCAGCACTGAAAAATATTAGCCGTTGTTATTAATCTGGATTAATCTGAGGTCTTTAGATATCTAAGACATCTAAGAATTAGGATACTTCATTTTGAATTCCATATCAATCATTTCCTGTCGATGTACCCTAAGCAAAATTATAAAATCTCTCCAATTTCACAATTTGCTCTTGTTAAAAGGAATGTTTGAAGTTGAGGATCCTCTATCTCTAATATTCCCAAATCTGAAGACATGGATGATGAAGACGCCTCATTGAGGCTTCCAATGATGTGGCTCAATTACCTTGGCATTGGTTTAAGCATCAGATGGTCTTGAATTTAATAAAAATTAACCATTTTTAACTTTAATTTAATAATAGGGATACTGAGATGGAAAAAGTATCTTCTTAGTGGCTGATATAAGAATTCTTCTATAAGTCAAGACTGACTTTGTTGAGAAGGGTTTGTTCAAACCACAAAGAAATGGAGCAGAGGTCAGCAAACTATGACCTGCAGGCAAAATACAGCCCATGTCCTGTTTTTATTAATAAAGTTTAATTGAAATAGTCATGCCCATTCATTTAGAAACTGCCAACTTTTAGCACTGCATGGGCAAAGTTGAGTAGTTGCAACAAAGAACATATAGCCTAAAATAGTTATTATTTGTGCCCCAGAGGGTAGATAGAGAGTGGATGAAAGCCACAGGAGGTATCTGGATTTAATGCTAAGAAGTAAGCTACTCTGCTTGTCATGAAGAGAGAAGCAGAAGGGACTGGATGTAGTTGGTGGAAGGAGGGGGAAGGTGGAAATAACCTGTTGCTTTGAGAATTCTAGAGGAGATACTTGCGGAAAGAGACACATCTAGTGAGATATTTGAGTAAGACACTGCACACTGTGTGATAGGACTCCTTGACTCAGCCTTCTACAATATTCAGTTATACTTAAACGTTCATAATAATTTTGGTGTGCCTGGATTTCTAACCTCCTTTGTAAATACTTATTAAATGCTTATTATGTGCTAGTCACTCTTCTAAGTGATGCCTTCTTAAATGAACTCATCCTTAACAACCTGTGAAGGGGTAACAGCATAATTCTCATTTTGCAAATAAGGAAACTGAGGAACACAGAGGTTATTGAGTAAGTGGTGGAGGTGAATGTTGAATCCAACAGTCTGATTCCTGAGACTGTGCTGTGCTTCCTCACTCTCAGAGGCTGCAAGTCCACCTAGTGGACTCTGATATGCAGCTGAGATCCCCCTCCAGGGACAAAGAACTCCCACCCCACTGCCAGACCCCTGTGGGAATTGCCTCAGCCAAAGACAGCTATCTTGTCCAAGGTCACACTCCTTCCCAGGGCAGCCTACATCCATACTTGATCCACCTGTGACTGTAAAGACCCCCTTCCCTTCCTCACCTTGCCTTAGGACAACACTGAAAGGTTATGCTAGCTTCAGAACTCCCATGGGATTGGCTGGGGTTCCCATTGAGACTAAGTCACAGTGCAACTTCACCCTCTGCTTTTAATTCAGAGTGAGTCAAAAGCTGAGGTCATTTTTCAAGCATCAAGATAGTTGCTAGATTGTCTTCCTGGGCTTTCTTGATCATAGTCAGAAAGACTTTTTTTTTTTTTGAGACAGAGTCTCACTCTGTCACCCAGGCTAGAGTGCAATGGCACAATCTCGGCTCACTGTAACCTCCACCTCCCAGATTCAAGCAATTCTCGTGCCTTAGCCTCCTGAGTAGCTGGGATTATAGGCGCATGCCGCTACGCCTGGCTAATTTTTGTATTTTGAGTAGAGACGGGGTTTCACCATGTTAGCCAGGCTAGTCTTAAACTCCTGACCTCAAGTGATCCACCCGCCTCGGCCTCCCCAAGTGCTGGGATTACAGGCGTGAGCCACCGCACCTGGCCCAGGAAGACTTTTTAAAATTAGAGGGCTGTCCTCCTCCTGAAGAAGATAAATATAACAGGAAAACAATCTATTTCTCAAGTTTGAGTGACTTGGGATCTCAAAGGCCTTACCTTTCTTGGGTACTTGTATGGGGCTGTCACTGACTTCACATGCTGCTGCAGCTCCTTGGTGAGCTGTTCTGGGTCATGGGACAGGAACTGCGAGGCCAGGACCACAAATGCTTTCACCACCTGCAAAAAAGATAAGGGCCAAGAGAGAAGGGATTAGAGTGTGTAGTCATCTCCTGGAATAATGTGAAATTGGCATTAAGACTTCCATCACCCTTGTATCTCCTCATTTGCATCCCCAGTGATCAGCTCAAGGGAAAGGGAGAAACTGGGGACAAGAATGAGGTTCCAGCTCTCTCTGAAGTTGTTTATTGGAGGAGCAGTGGACAATAGATTGAGACCAGGTCGGCCTCACACTCAAGGATAATAAAGACAGATGAGGGAAAGAAGATACAGGAGAAAAGAGAAAAATAGACTGAAAACCATAACCCTAAACCACTGTGTTAACTTCCTCCAAACTTCAGTGCTCCCGTCTATAAAATGGGGATAAAACTGCCATATTGAACTTACGGTAAATAAATGAAATCGTTACAGCAGGGCTGGGCTCCAGAGCTGGACACACAGGGTTTTCTCAGCAGAGGATCCCCTTTGGCCTCATGCTCAGTGGGTTTCCCATAATTTTCTGTGCGATGTTGTTCTGTACATACCGGAGGTGTGATAGTGCCAGGCTTACACCCTGGCGGGAATGTACTAGGACACTGATCACACATCCTACCTTATATTTTCCTACACCACACATCAAAGGTCCACTAGACCCAATCTGAGCCTATTTCTATAACCCTGACCTTTATAGCGGTCTTTCTTTTTCCCTTTATTTTCACTGCGAACCCTGGTGGCACGGGGCTCTCATCCTTGCTCAAATCCCTCCTGGTTTGTTCTTCTGGTCAGGAATCAAGAGTCTGATTCCAACACCAAACAGCAGGATGATAGTACTCCTTCCAGCCTCTATCAAATAGCATTATATCACACGGTACATTTATATCGTGCTTAGGCCGCTTGTTCCAAGCACTTACAGTTTTTTTTTTTTTTTTGAGACAGAGTCTCACTCTGTCGCCAGGGGCTGGGAGTTGCAATGGCGGCATCTCGCTCACTGCAAGCTCGGGCTCCCCGGTTCAGCCTTAATTTCCTGCGCCTCAGCTCCTGAGTAGGGCCTGGTTTACAGGTGCCTGCCACTGTGCCAGGCTAATTTTTGTATTTTTAGTAGAGACGGGGTTTCACCATCTTGACCAGGCTGGTCTTGGACTCTTGACCTCATGATCCATCCGCCTCGGCCTCCCAACCAAGCGCTTTACTTTCTAAAAATTTTTATCGATTCATAATATTTGTACATATGTATTGGGTACAAGTGATATTTTGTTACATGCATATATTGTAATTATCAAATTAGGATACTTGGGGTGTCCATCACCTTGACTATTTATAATTTGTATGTGTTGAGAACATTTCAAGTCCTCTCTTCTAGCTATTTTGAAATATACAGTACATGGTTGTTAACTATAGTCACTCTACTCTGCTATTGAACATTCGAACTTATTGCTTCCATCTAACTGTATGTTTATACCCATTCACCCACCTCATCCCCCGCTTCGCCACCCACACACCCTTCTCAGCCTCTGGTATCTATCACTCTACTCTTTATCTCCATGAGATCAACTATTTTAGCTCTCACTTATGAGTGCAAACATGTGATATTTATCTTTCTGTGCCTGGCTTACTTCACTTAACATAATAACCTCCAGTTCTCTCCATGTTGCTGCAGATGACATTACTTCATCCTTTTTTAATGCCAAATAGCATTCCATTGTGTATATATACCACGTATTATTTATCCATTCATTCATTGGATACTTAGGTTTATCTCATATCTTTGTATTGTGAATAGTACTGCAATTAACATGGGAGTGTAGACATCTTTTTGATATGCTGATTTCTTTTCCTTTGGATAAATACCCAGTAGTGGGATTGCTGGATCGTACGGTAGTTCTGTTTAGTTTTTTGAGAAATCACCATACTTTACAAATATTAGCACATTTAACCCTCATAACAATCCCTCATCTTACAAATGGGGAAACTGAGAAACAGAGAGGCCAAGTAGCTTGCCCAAGGTCACATAGCTAGTAAGTGGCAGGGCCAAGATTGGGTCTCAGAGTGTTTAGCCCCACGGTCCCTGTTCTTAAACCATCGTACTACACTGCCCTTGTGTTGATATCTGTTCACCCCCAGACTGCTGCTTCCCCATCACCTCTCCTCGGACGGGGTCTGGGCTGCTGATCACAGCCGTCTCAACCACAGCAGGGTGCTCCATCAGCGCGTTCTCTACCTCTGAGGGTCCAATCCGGTACCTGCAGAAGAACCTGTCCTTCAGAGAAGACTGGACACCCAACCTCTAGGCTATCCCAGAAGTCTGGAACCAGCCAGAGTAAAGACCCAAATTTCCCCTCCCAATCCAGAAACCAAGCTCACCCGCTGGAGTTAATGATATCATCTGCCCGTCCCATAAACTGGAAATATCCATCTTTATCTTTGATTCCCCGGTCTCCAAGGAGCCAAAAGTCCCCTCGAATGTTGGCTGCTGTCTTCTCGGGATTGTCCTGGTGACCACAGAAAGACAGAGTGATTGTGCCTGCAAAGCCTAAATCCCCTACCATGGGGCTGCCATGAACAGATGTCATAAGTCTTATTAAAACTGCAGGTGTGCGGTGTATAACTTGACCATGGCAGACGTGCCCTGAACCAGCCAACCCTAGGCTGCAGGTAGAACTGGATCTTTCCCATTTATTGAAGTTATTCCACTCAGGGTCTCTCAGCTACTCCTCTAGGTCCAGTCTGATGGATATTATTGATGTATCCGTTCATCCAGGCTTAGGGCATTTCCCCCAGTTGTTTCCATCTCCCCTTTCACAGATATCCTAATCTCTGCTCACTCCATGGCACCACTCAAAACTATCATTTTGATTAGGTACTTTTCTTGGCTTCTTTGTTAAATTTGAAAGTTCTAGGGACATTAGCCGGGAAGCCCCCTGGGACCCTGGCTAATGTGCATGTTTCTACAATGGCTGGATCCCTCTATTAAGCTGAGGCAATTGCTTATGAGTAACAAAAAGGCTTGAGCTTTATCCCTTGTCAGGGCATCTTCGTATATGACTCTGGTATGGGGGCATGGGCTCCAGACTGGAGATTCAGTTACTGGATGATATGGTGGCATAAAGAATTCTTAGCCTCACTCCATCATTGGGAATAGAGGGATGCTAATGATCAGAGACACCAAGAGGCTCGTCTGAAGCTAAACAGCCATGACAGAAGGTAGAATTGAGACCAGAAGCCAGGTTTCTTGGCCACTGGCTCAACTTTCTCATGGCCACATGGAGCCTCTGTGGCCTCAGAAGTCTGCCCAACAGATACTTCTGAGTCTGTTTCCCTTTCTGTCAAATGGGAAGAAGCCCATGACTTAGTACTTCACTGGCATTTGAGAATAGAGTGGGACTGCACATAGGAAACGCTTGGAGAAGGGAACAGTGTGGCCCTGCCCTGATCTCTGAGGCTCAGTTTTCCTCATTTGTAAAATAGGAATAATCATTCAAATCTACAACAAGTATTTTATTGAACACACTCACAACACAAAACTTACAGATGAGGAAACTGAGACATGACAGATCAGTAACTTGCCTAAGATCACGCAGTACAGGATTTTGAACTTGAGCAAGCTGAGTCCAAAAACTTTATAGGGTGGCTGGGAGGATTAAACAAGTTTAAAGTTTAAATAAGTTTAAAGTTTACAGATTAAATGTGTTTATAGGACAATGCTTGCCTCATGGTATGCATTCAATAAGTGGTGGAAACTACTATTATTTGATTTATTATTTATTTATTTTATTAATGAATTATCTCAGGGATCAGAAGGCATGCCCTTGGGGTCTTCTCTGTCCACTTTCTAATGGTTGTGAGCTTGAGCAAGTCTTGTAATCTCTGGCTCCAACATCCTCACCTGTCAAGTGAGGTGGCCGGATTCAAGGATTATCTGTCTTTACCTTCCCAAGATCTGAAGATAGGGATTCCTCCAGCTGGATGGCAAAGTCTCAATGTAAAGTGCCTGGCAGGCTCTAAAGAAGATCAATGGCATAGAGCATGGGGATGATACCTATGGGAGGGGGCAAGGCTGCCCTTGGGGGAATGGTGCTGTGTATAGTTCAGGGTCAATAATATTTTGGGCATGAAACAGAGAGTTCTTGAGAAGTCTGAGGGCTAATTGAAGAAAAATAAGTCTTCCAATGAGGTCACAGAGATAGGCTGAGGAAGGCAAGGCTGAATAGACGGTCTTTTCTTCCACTGGCAAAGCATATATTCTTGAAAACTGGACACTCTTTGTCTTCACATCTAATGCCTCTTGGAAGTTTCAGAACATTTGGCCTCCCTCACCCCATTTAGTGCTCCCCATCCTCACTGAGGAACAGAGGAGGAGGAGCACAGTTTCTCACCACATAGCCAGAGAAGATGCCTATAGGCTTGATGGGTTTGACCCTGACGCCAATGTCTCCTTCTGTGCCGGGGGGCAGGACGTTGCCCTTATCATCTATGACCTGGAGAAAGAAGCAGATTGGAAGAATGATGCACAGAGCAGGAGATGGGTTCAATGGTAGCATGAGATTACTGAGTTGGTCAAATGAAAGACCCTCTTGCTCTAGTGGAGACTGAAAACAACAACCAGAAACCAAGGGAACCCAAGAGCCTTATACTCAGATCTCTGATCCATCTGTCTGGAATAGTTTAGGTGAATCCTTTTATTGAGACTGGCCCAGATGAGTCTGGGGAGATGCTTTTGGCTTTAGGAGCTCAGATAAAATAATAGCCTCCCCTTATCTTTGAGACCTACCTCACCTGTGGACTTAGAAATCAGGCAGATCAAAACTCACATTTACTCTGCTACCTTACTAGCTGAGTTTGAACTACTTAAACTCTGTGCTTCAGTGTTTTCACCCATAAAACAGATACTGACAGCTTATTTCACAGGATTTTTATAGGAATGAAATAAGATCCTAAGAAAGGGACTTAGCAAATGGTTATGATAGTGAATATCATGGCAAGTAACTGGATATGACACTGAATAGAGTCTAAGTTACACTTTAGATATACAAAACTATACTCATAACACAGATACACAAACACAAATTCTAGTTCTCCAAGAACAATAAAACTTTAGCTACCACGCATTCATTATAGTGTATTTTTACTAGTGAAAACTGGGACATCATCCCTTGGTCCAATAAAAGGCATAAATAGCGGTGGATACCTACTATTTACTACTATATCATCATTAAAAATCATGCTGTAGATTGGCATTAATTGAACAGAAAAGATCTTTACCTAAATTGTTAAATGATAAAAGCAAGTTACAAAATGTTATGTCAGGATTCACCCCTAGTTTTGTTTTTAAAGCATATATACTTGCGTACTGTCTAGCTAATTTGCTAGATATTCAAAGTGGGTCCTTCTGGATGGTAACAATATAAATCATTTCCCCTTTTCCTCCTTCCTTCCCTCACTCTCTCCTTCCCCCTAACCTCCCTCCCTCCCTCTCTTTTTCCTTATGTTATCTTAATATCGGTACTTTCTATTATTTTGACTCAGTAAACAATGGAATACATAAATTACTGAAAATCAGTGTTTCCCCTAACTTCCTCCCTCCTTAGTGTCCCGAGCAAACCTGTACATCATAATGGGGAGCAGCTATTCCCATGTATCCTGGTTTGATTTTCATCGTCTTGGAAACTACGCAAGTTAATCCCTGTGGAAAGAAGCAGACAAATCAGCAAACCTCAGGAGGAGGTACAAGGTCATACAAAGAGAAAAAGTTTCTGTAGAGCAGGTCCTGAACTTGGCCTACACTTGGGGGCTCGTCCCGCTCCTCATTCCCTGGCTGTCTCCCCATTACTGGAACCACAATCCTAGGGGCTTTGCCAAATTGTTTGTTCAGTAAGCAACCCAACTACCACTCCCCAGGAAGAGGACCTAACAGTCACATTATAATCTCTTTTAGGGGGAGCCACATTTTTATATGACACTATGGATACCCAAAGTCCTTTCAAACTATATGGAATCACCAATATGCAATCTGTAAGGCCTGAAATATACTGACTTTTGTTTTTATTTTGAATTTTCATGGGTACATAGGTGTATATATTTATGGGATATATGAGATGCTTTGATACAGGCATGCAATTTGAAATAATCACATCATGAAGAATGAGGTATCCATTTCCTCAAGCAGTAAAATATACTTTTTAAATTATCTCCCATGGCAGCACCAGTTCTGCTTGAACCCTGAAATGAACATTCCCAACAGAATAAGAGATGAGTGGTGGATGCCTCACTGACAGAGACACAGATTGTCATTTTCTCAGATCTAGCCTGGACACCAGATATCACAGTGACCCATCTTTTCCCACCACCCACTGTGCTGAAAAGGGCAAGTTGATCGATCCACCTCAGAAGAGAGGCTGCTGAGTGATTAAGATCATGGGAATCTGAGTGTCCTTGTAAGCATATCCTAAACATGTCCTCCTCTGAATGGTTGGAGGCCCCTGCCAGGGTATGCTTGTCACAACTCTATTGTCCTTATTCGTATTTGCAGAACTCTTCCTAGCTCTTTCATACCACAGAGCTGCCATCAACCCTCTGCAGAAGTTCTTCCAAGGGTACTCATTAGCCAAAGAAGGATGCAGGGTAAGACAGTGGAGAGGAAAAGGCAAGAAGTGCTGAGAGTTACAAGTAAGAGGCACTGGAAAAAGGAGAGAAAGAGTTGAGGGAAATAGTCCCCATGTAGTTTGGATAAGTAAAACAGTATAGAATAGTATAAATTCATATTGTGCACATGAGACCTCAAGAGTTCCAAGAAGATATCTCAGGAAGTGCAGTAAAGTCATGGTGGTTCTTCTTCCCATTCCTCACTTCAGTCTAAGCAGCTTTGTAGAGTGCTTGACATGTTTGATAAACTTTGGTCTCTGCTAAAATGTTTCCGTATCACAGAGAACCTTTCTGACTACCATATCTGATTTACCAACTTCTCACCCCATCTCACCTACTTTACTTTTTCCATCGCATTTCTCACCACCTGCCATGCTAGATAGTTCTTACTTTATTGCCTCTCTCCCCAAATCTCACCGGAATGTAATCTCCCAGAAAACAGGAGCTTTGCCTGTTTTGTTCTGTGCTGAATTTTCAATACCCAGTACCTGTCCCTTCATGGAGGCTCAATAAATATTTCTCAAATAAATGAATGATAAATGGTGGCTAACATTTTTTATTGTCAAAGAGACTTTTGAAGCCCAAAAAGTGCATCCAGCCCATGGTTCCCCTGGGAACAGGTACCGTTTCTGTCTGGCCATAGAATTCTCGGATGTCCAGTCCAGTCTGGGCCCTCCAGTTCTCCAGAATTTCTGGAAGAAGGGAATCCCCTCCACTGAGGCAGTTCTGTAGATGGGGGAACTTGTAACTGAAGAAGAGAAATAAGAGTTTCCCCTCAGCCTCCCTGGAACCAAAGTCCACCCAGGCCTAGACCTGGTTTCTGGGTGCTTTGATGATGCAAATGGCTTCATGGGGTTATCTGTGTGCAAGAGATTCAGATAGATAGGCATGCATGTATGTGAGGGAGTCAGGGGGACGGGGCCAGACTCTCTTACCAATCCTCAAAGCCCCATCACCTGGAAAGATCCTGCTGTAGCAACATCCGGTAAACAAGGGGGGCACCAATCATGCTCTTGATTGGGTAGCTGGAGAGCGTCTAGAAGAAGAGAGCCAGGTGAGACATTGGTCACCAGGTCAGATGCCAACTTATGGCTATGCACAGTGGTTACAGTTGTGAGTTATGGAGTTGTAGAGGTCTGGATTAAAATGCTAGCTTGTTTACTATGTCTGTTTCAGGTCAAATGAGCCCCACAATTCTTATGCACCCTGAAAACACAAATAACAGGGAAATGAATACATATTATGGTAGTGAAAAAGCCTAAGACTATTTTGAAACCTTTTTGTCAAATCCTGGATGTCTGTTCCTGCCAGTTTAAGACTTGCCCTCATTAACACAACCCTAGGAGTATATCACCCCCTAGCAACTAAGGGAAGATCAGCTGCCTGAGTACAGCAGCTGTCTTGGTTAAGTCCCTTAACCTTCTGTAGCCAACTTTATAATAGTTTGTTTCCAACCTTATTTTCCCGAAAATACTTTTGGGATATATTTTAGCTATAAAAAGTCTTTGAAAAGCTAAAGACAGACATTTATATCTATAGACATTTCAAAACAAGTGCTACAAAAAGACCTGGTACTGAATACTTGCCATGTTCTGTGTTATGTCATTTAATTTTCACAATAACCTCATAGAGTGTGTACTATCATCCTCATGATTCAGAGGGGAAACCCATGATGTACAAGGTTAAGTAGCTGCTCCAAGGTCACCTAGTCAGCAAGTAGTGGGATCATTATTTGCAGCATGTATTCCTGTAGTATAATACCATCTCCATCCCACGCTTTTCTTTATGAAGAATATAATAGAGTATTGTCTTAGTCTGTTTTCTGTTGCTATAACTGAGTACCCAAGACTGAGTAATTTATGAAGAAAAGAAATTTATTTCTTGCAATTCTAGGGGCTGGAGAGTCCAAGGTCAAGAAGCTGCATCTGGTGAGAGCCTTCTTGCTGATGGGGACTCAGGGCATCACATGGCAAAGGGGCTCATGAGACAGAGCAAAACTGGCTTTTTATCTAACAGACCTACTCTTCAAAACTAACCCACTAACTTGATAACCCATTAATCCATTAATCCCTCATGAGACCAAATCATCTCTTAAAGGCCCCACCTCTTAATACTGTGCCACTGGGGATTGAGTTTGTTGATGAAAGGTGCCAAACTCTGTAAAATATTTGAAGAGATTTATTCTGAGCCAAACATGAGTGACCATGGCCGTGACACAGCCCTCAGGAGGTTCTGAGAACACGTGCCCAAGGTGGTCAGGGTGCACCTTGGTTTTATACATTTTAGGGAGACATGAGACTTCAATCAAGCACATTTAAAAAATACATTGGTTTGGCCCAGAAGGGTGGGACAACTTGAAGAGGGGTCTTCCAGCTTATAGGTAGATTTAAATTTTTTCTGATTGACAATTGGTTGAGTTTATCTAAAGACCTGGGATCAATAGAAAGGAATGCCTTGGTTAAAATAAAGAATTATGGAGACCCAAGTTCTTATTTGCAGAGGAAGCTTTTAGGTACTGGCACTAGGCGTTAGAGAGAATAGGTTGTAAAATGGGTTGTTTTTTTTTTTTAAATCAGACTTGAAATCTGTATTGCTGTTAATACCAGAGAGGTATAATGAGGCATGTCCCACTCTCACTTCCTGTCATGGCCTGAAACAGTCTCTTAGGTTAAATTTTTAAAAGAACCCTGGCTGAGGAGGAAGGTCATTCAGATGGTTGGGGGTGGCGAGGCCTTAGGATTTTATTTTTGGTTTACAAGTTTCATCATGAGTTTTGGAGGGCACAAATATTCAAACTATGGCAATGGTTTAAGCAAAATGTCTAGAAAAAATGACAAATGTGAATATCATGCAATCATTTCCTTCAGATGCTCTTGGTAAACAGATATAAGCTACGAAAATGACGTCATATTCCTTATTGCTTTGCCTTACTAGAAGCTCAACTTGCAACTACATACTCATTTGCTATATTTCTCCTTAATTTCCTTAGTCTTTCCCCCCCTACACCTCCAACTTATATTTTCCTAATGGACTTTAATTTTGCTTCTGTTTTCATTTTTTTTTTTAATGGTAGAACTTAATAAGAGCCAGTTCAAATCCTTTGGGGAAGGACACAGAGTAAGAATTTGTTTAAAACAGAGAATGACAGTATCATTTGAAGATAATTTCCTAAGAAAATTCAGACCACACCTGACTTTTTGACTTTTGAAGATGTCATCTATGCCTTAGCTTGAATCTTTGTTGCAGCCAAATAGATGTCTGGATGGGCCATCAGAGATCTGGGGGCATGGCAGGGAAATAACCCAACCCCTCTATCAAAGAGTCCAACATAGGGTGTATCTTTGTAAGCAAAATGAGGTCATTTTTATTGCTTTGTCGCTACAGGATAATGCATAGCTGCAGTTTGTGGGTCTTACCTAATGGCTGTACCATCAAGTTCTATAGGAAAAAATTCCATTTATTCTTCTGAGTTGCTTCTAGAAAATCATCTTAAATTGGAAATAACCCAATGTTCATTAACAATAGGATGGGGGAAAATTTTGATAGATTCACAGAATGGAATACTATGCAGTCAGTTAAAGAACAAACATCTGATACACGCAACACATGGACTAACCTCACAGAGAATATTTTGAGTAAAAGAAGCCAAATGCAAAAGATTATATATAATGTGGTTCCATTTACATGAAATGCAAGAAGAGATAAAATTAATCTATGGTGATAGAGATCAAACGAATGATTAAGTTATGGGGTGTAGACACTGTCAGAGAAGGAGTATGAACACCTGCAGTGGTGGGAATATTTCATGTCTTGATCTAGTGGTGTTTACATGGGTGTCTGATATGAATTGGATGCTGTATCCCCACCTAAATCCCTATATAAAAGCTCTAACTCTCAACTTGATGGTATTTGGAGGCGGGGCTTTTAGGGGTAATTATACAAGGTAGTGAAACAGGTGCCCCAATGAGAGCATGAATGTCTTTATTTTTAAAAAGGAAGAGATACCAGCACTGTCTTTCTCAACCATGTGAGAATACAGCAATAAGGCAGCCATAGCAAGCCAGAAAGAGGGGCTCCCCAGGAATCCAATTATGCTGGCATCCTGATCTCAGACTTACAGCCTCCAGAGCTATAATAAGTAAATGTCTGTTATTTAAGCAACCTAGACTATGGTATTTTATTATAGTAGCCCAAGCTGACTGAGACAGTATCTTAACATAGGTAAATTATTTTCAAACTGTACACTTAGGATGGTGGCACTCTATGTACTCTACCTTCAGTTTGTGTTTTATGCTGCAAATAAAAAAGGAAATGAAACGTGCACTCTCTCTCTCTCTCTCTCTCACACACACACACACACACACACACACACGAGGGAGATGGCATCCCCTCCAATATTCCAGCTTTCCCTTTTACATGTGGTTCATCAGCATCTATCTGATAGGTGACACCAGTGGACGAGCCCATTGCGGTTGTTGAGTGAACAAATGACCTACAATGTCTTTCTCCTAAACATACTGCTTTCTTCTATGTATGTGTCTGTCTCCTTCCCCAGAACATGAGCTCCATGAGGTCAGGGATCATTTCCATCTTGCTTACTGAGCACTGTTCACCACATGGCAGGGGTTTAGCAAAAATTAAATAAGTTGAAGCAAACTACAATAAATTGAAGTGTGCAAACCTCGGGCTCACTCTGAATAACTGGTGCAAACAGGATCCTCTCTTACCTTTAGAATAATCAGTGGGTCAAACGTTGGCAAGAGATGAACAAATGTGCATGCTCCTACTGTCCAAGTTTCCAAAAGTGAGGTTATAATGTTCAGTATCCAACCTGTGTCTGCTATGGTCCACATTATATCAGAGCCTTGCAGGCCTGTCCAACTGAAAACACAGACAAAACACATGTACAGATAGGTGGGTGCATGCTGACCTTAGGATGTGTGGGACACTAAGGTGTAGGGGAGGAAAGAGAGGTGTGTGCGCAGAGGTCTGTGTGTATCTGCCTGCAGGTTTATAGATATGGGTTAAGATTAGTTAAAAGGGGGAAGAAAAGTTGTTCGCGCCGGCGCGCGGTGGCCAACCTGGTAATGCCCAGCACTTTGGGAAGGCGAAGGCGGCGTTGGATCACGAGCGGACGTCCGCAGTCCGAGACTATCCTGCGTAACAAATGGCGTGAAACCCGTCTCTACTAAAAATACAAAAAAACTAGCCGGGGCCTGGTGGCGCGGGCCTGTAGGTCTCAGCTACTGGAGGCTGAGGCGGCAGAGAACTGGCGTGAAACCCGGGAGGCGGACTTGCAGTGAGCCGAGATCAGGCCACTGCACTCCAGCCCTGGGAGCACAGCGAGACTCCCGTCCCAAAACAAAAAAAAAAAAGAAAAAGTTGTTCTGATCCGCACATTCCTGGCATCAACAGGAGATGAATGTTCAGAAGGTGGGACCCCAGTTGACATGACTTAATATATAATTGGGTCTCATTCTCATTTTACCTCCAAAACTTAGTACCATTTGTGGCATGCATGTGGTAACCACCCAGGAAAATTCTACTAACACAAGGCATCTGCATGACAAATATTCTAACAGATGCCTTGCCAAGTTCAAGTTTGGCTGAATAGAACTTTGCTTCTCTTTTCTTCAAGTACTGCGAATTGCCCGTACAGCTGATGGTCTTGCACTAAGTAAACTTATCAGTTTTTTCTCTTCAGGGCAGAATAAAAGGTTTAGACCTTTCTTAAAGCAAGAATGATTTAGGCTAGACATGAACAACTTCCTTGTGACTGGGGACTGCCATAGTGTATCTTCTTTCCTGAAGATGATTAATGCTTTCAGCTCTTCAGGGAAATTAGGTCATAGTACAAGACTTCTCTAAGTCTCACTTTATATCTGTGAAAAATGAGATCACTACCAAATTTTTTGGGGGAAGGGGAATTTCATATTTTAGTTACATTTAAGTAATTTATCCCCTATCTTTTAGAAACTGCGTTTTACTGCAGCTCTTCTATTGTATAATTTTTATTAACTTATTTAATTTGCAGTCACTATGGTCTCATAGATGGAATATTTACACTTTCCATTTTTGCATTATTATATTTTCCCATTCTAATAATAAAATTAACATGGAAGGAGGGATCTACTAAAAAAATTCTGATGATTTATAGATATCATTGTGTGAAGACCTTGGCACAGTGTTTCATGATTCCACAAATGGGATTAATGTAGCAGTGGAAAAAAAAAATGCCCAACTATGAGGTCTGTGACCCAGAAATCCTGAGATCTTTGTTCGCAAATATATCCAATTATATCTTCCACTTCAATGAATTTGCAAAGTAATTTGCCGCTGACAAAAACTGCCCTCTTGGAACGTGGACAGTATCAAAGCAAATTGCCAGCACCCCAAACAACAACATAGAGATCAGTCTGGGGAAATGCATGTAAGCTTTTTGCTAATTATTCACCCTGCTAGGCATTTGGCTCAACACGTGGAAGAAGTTTTGAGACCCTGTGTTATCTAAAAGATGTGTCCCATTGGAGATCACTGGATACCCAGCACGTGAAGCCATGTCCTCTTTAGCTTTCCTTCTGAATTTTCTTTCTCAGAACCGCAAGGTGGTAGCCCAGCCTAGGAGCACTGGATTTGAACTCAGAAAAGTCTTCATGCCTCGTCATACAATTCTCTGTAGAGAGAGAGAGCTCAGCTTACCCAGCATCCATCTTGGCCTTGAGACCCAGGCTTGAGTGGGAATGTTCTGCCATCTTGGGAAGCCCACTGGTCCCACTAGTGAAGTAGATGGCAACTGTTTCATGGCTTCCAGTCTCCACACATCGATGAGTGGTGGATGCCTCGCTGACAGAGACAGAGATTGTCATTTTCTCAGATCTAGCCTGGACACCAGATATCACAGTGACCCATCTTTTCCCACCACCCACTGTGCTGAAAAAGGCAAGTTGATCGAACCACCTCAGAAGAGAGGCTGCTGAGTGATTAATATCATGGGAGTCTGAGTCAATCAGAGTTGGGTTTGAAAACCACTCAAGTTTGGCACTTTGTTATCCATGCAACCCTAAACTAGTTATTTAACTTCCCTGTGTCTCACTTTATATCTGCAAAAAGTGAGATCAAGTCTAACAGAGTTACTGAGAAAGTTAACTCTACCACCAAAGAAATGAGCAACTTGCTTAGCAAGAACTCAATAAATGCTAATCTAATTATTGTGAAGAGCCCTGGCATGACACCAAGCGGACGGAGGTGTGGAATTAATATGAGTTTTCCAAGTACTTTCTTGGCACTCTCTTCTATTCCCTGGAAGCACCTACACATCTCTTGGACATCTCCAGTGTCCTGATTTTGAGCCTTTGAAAGCAGGCATTGGCCGGGCATGGAGGCTAATGCCTGTAATCCTAGCACTTTGGGAGGCCGAGACGGGCAGATCACGAGGTCAGGAGATCGAGACCATCCTGGCTAACGTGGTGAAACCCCGTCTCTACTAAAAATACAAAAAATTAGCCGGGCGTGGTGGTGGGCGCCTGTAGTCCCAGCTACTCAGGAGACTGAGGCAGGAGAATGGCATGAACCCGGGAGGCGTAGCTTGCAGTGAGCTGAGATCGTGCTACTGCACTCCAGCCTGGGCAACAGAGTGAGAGTCCATTTAAAAAGAAAAAGCAGGCATCATGTTATTTATTTCTATGACATCTACCTTAAAGACTATGGCATTAGAAAGGAAAAGCTGAAGTTATCTCTTCAAGTTTCCAATCATATGTGCCCCTAATAGAGGGATTTCAGATTTCAGACATGTGACAGAGAAAATCATTAATCCAGCCAATTATGCTATCAACTTTTGGAAGGACACATGGAGAGACTCTGCCCTTCATCAACCTCTCTTAGAGATACAGAAGGTGGGAAGAAGAGTCTAGAAACTCAACGTATCAGCCATCTCTTGGGTTTTCCCTCATGACCTTGGCCTCACCCCTGATTTGAGTCATAGTTCCAGTGAATAGTTCTGGGTGGGTTTCAACCCACTTGGTGTTAACACCATGTTGTTTCCAGTGTGCACCACAAGTGATTCACTTTGTGCCCCATAGTTTCTCTGTTTTACCATAGCATGGAACTCTGAGCCACTCTTTATGCATGAGTGTGCAGCCCAGCGTGTGGAGGCAATAACACCCCCAGGGCAACCCTCAACCTGTGGGGGTCAGATGCTGATGGGTCAGTGCTTTTCAATCCTTTAGAGGACAATCCTAGGAGGCATTATATGTGCTGCTCAGAAGGTCCAGGTAGATCAAGCCCCATTTAGTCCTTGCAATGACTTGGGAAAAAAAAAAAACAAACCCCTTGCATTAGCTTTTATTTCTTCCCAGCTTCACTCTTCCTAGTCCCATGCTCTGCTTCCTGCACCTCCTCAATAAAGCACCTGCACCTAAGTGCTTGGCTCTGTTTCCAGTTTTAGTTAAAACCCAGGCTGAGACATGTAGATACTCACTTTAATAGTTTCTTGAAGTTCAGCCACCCATCCCAGCTTTTCTCAGACACCAGTAACTTAATTCTCAGAGAAGGGCATTTAGATGCCACTGTGTCCACTTCTTGGATGACTTCATCCCCAGCAATGATAGCCTTGGCCTTAGACATCTGCAACCTATACAGTATGTCGGTGGATTTCATCTGGATGGTTCCAGGCATAAAGACGAGACCTAAAGAAGCCAACAGTTTAGAGAATTGGAAAGGATGGTTTTCTTTGTCCGTAGAGAAGCCTGATAAAAACATCAAGCAGGGAGAAAGTGTGGAAGGAGAGAATGGGGAAGTAATGACCAATGGAGACTGTCAACAAAAAAGAGGACTACGGAATAGGGAGTGAATTTAACCTAGGATTCCTTGGGTTGTCAGTCTTAAGGGCCCTACTGAGACAAAGAAAAGAAATTGAATTGCTAATGTCACACTGTTGACAGTCTAAGACACATACAATTCTCCTCACCCATTCTCACCCCTCAAAAAAAATTTTCTACAGGAGTTTGCTGTATTCAAAACTCTTATATGATAACTAAAGAATCATGAAGAAAGGCACTTGGAATTATCCATGGTCTTGAAACACCAATAGCTCTAGGTCTTGGCTATTTCTTTCAACCCTGGGACACTAAACGCATTTTTCTTAGATGAGAGTGCCTTCAGTTTTACATATACATGTACACACAAAGTATAGTTGTATATATTTATTGGGTACAAAGTGGTATTATAATTTTTGAAGACAATGTGAGATGATTAAATTAAGCAAATTAACATATCCATCACCTCAAGTATTTAACATTATTTGTGATGAGAACATTAGAAATTTTTGCTCTTAATGATACTGAAATTTACAGTACTCAATTATTAGCTATATTTAGCATGCTGTACAATTTATCTTTAAAAATTAGGCTTATTCCTTGCACATAACTGAGGTTTTATACCCCATGATTATCACCTTCCTAAATTCTTGTTCTTCGTTACTATCTTAATGAGACTCCTTTGAGTTTTAAAATCTTCTGTAGAATAACTAGACTTAGGGCCAGGCATGGTGGCTCATGCCTGTAATCCTAGCACTTTGGGAGGCCAAGGAAGGCGAATTATTAGAGGTCAAGAGTTCAAGACCAGCCTGGCCAATGTGGCGAAACCCCAGCTTTACTAAAAATACAAAAATTATCTGGGCTTGGTGGCCCATGCCTGTAATCCCAGCTACTCTGGAGGCTGAGGCAGGAGGATTGCTTGAACCTGGGAGGCAAAGGTTGCAGTGAGCCAAAATCACACCACTGCACTCCAGGCTGGACTACAGAGGGAGACTCCATAAAAAAAAATAAAAAATAAAAAAAGTAAAGAAAGAAAGAAAAAGAAAGAAAGGAAGAAAGGAAGAAAGAAAAGAAAGAAAAGAAAAACTACACAGGTTTCATTTTTTTATGAAGCTTAAACCACATGCCCCTCCTGTTAAATAGCTTTTAATCTTAGCTCACTTTCTTCCCACTCTCAACACTTTGGGATTCTCACTGCACACCTGTAAATATCCTCGAATGTTTCTCTACCATGGTGGTCATATTGAGTCAGACACAGAACAATAGACACAACTTTTCCTCTGGGTTCTCCTTTCCGTCTGGCTATAATTTCAGTATGTCACCTTTCTTTCTGACTTGTTCTCTCTTTCCATGGGCTTCCAAGTTCCTGCAATTGGTTTGGTTGCCTCTGATAGTTTCTAATTCCTTGCTGCATTTATGTCTTTCTCTTTACCCACTCTCATGCTCAGCCCATTGTCCCCAGAATATGGGGTGGTTGGGAATTTTCAGTTGAGGTTAGGCTGTGTGCAAACAGAGGTGGAAAGGGCAGTTTGTGAAAGAGGTTGCTGGAGTTTCTTGAGGTTCTTTTTTATACCACTGTACTTCTCATCCTTTTAATGTAAAAGTTGATGATTCTCACATTTCTGTCTCCACCTCAGATTTTAGACCCTTAAATTCAACTTGTCATCACTTCTGGAACATCACATGGACATCCCAGACTCAACATGCCCAAATTGAACTTGTTGTCTTTTCCTAACACATCCATATCTCTTTCTATATCTGTGTTCTTCACTCCAGTGAAAAACAGCACCATCCACCCACTTGCTGAAATGTCTGTGACTTCTCTCTCTCTCCCTCACGTCTTCCTTGAAAAACGCTGTTATTCGTTCCCCTCAATTGCCTGTTAAATCCACTTATCTCCATCTCTACTACCTCAACCAAATTGAAGCCATCACCATTCCTTCACCTCTTATTGGAGATTTCCAATCCCACTATTGCCTTCTTCATCCCATTCCCTATTGAGAATCCAGTATGACCATCCAGAGGATGATCATGTCACTCAATGCATCAATGGTTGAGTGTTACTCAATCCATCAATCATTTTCCATTCACCACTGGATAAATGTCTACAACTCTTACCATGGCCCACAAGGCACTGCCAATTTAGCACCTGGCCACCTTTACATGTTCATTCTATTGCCACTACTTTCTTTTTATGGCCTGGACTTTAGGCACACAGATATCCTTTTAGGTTCTTTTGTAATTTCCAAGCTTCCCTCCCCTGTGACTTTGAAAATGCCTTTGCAAAAATTATGACACTGAGGGAAATCTGACACAGCTGACTTCATCTTGTTTCCAACCTCATAAGCTATCTGTCTTTGCTCATTCCTGGACATAGTCCAAGCTAACTATGGGAGGAATCCAGCTTATAGTCTAACTTTAAAATAAAAATGATAATAGCTCCTTCCTGAAACTAACTACCTCCATGCTTAGAGACTGAAACTGCCTTTGGAAAAATAACAAATTGGTCACAAGGCTAGAATTATAGTTCAGGAGTCATGGAGCCAGAGGTCACAAGATTTGTAACCTCCCCAATTTCTCCTGTAGATTACTTCACTATGGTAAAACCTAAGACTGATGTTTGAGGTGTTCTTCAGACCTTGCATTCTGATGGACCAGCTTGTACTACCCAGACCAGTAACTGATACCAAGAAACTAACTCAACCAGTTCTGTGATCTCTGAGGAGTTGACTCAGTACAAGAAGACAGCTTGAACCCATGTTTTCATCCCCAGCCAAACATATCAGCATTTCCTATTCCCTAGCGTCCTGCATGCCAAAGCATCCCTGAAAAACTCTGGTCTCTGATTTCCTGGGGAGGTGGATTTGAGAAACATCCTCCATCCTTCAGCTTGGCTGTCTATGCAATTATTAAACTCTTCTCTACTGCAACTCCTACTGTTTTCAGTGTTTGGCTTTTCTGGGCAGAAATCATCAGATGATTACATCTTCACATATGCTGTTCCCTTTGCTTGGCACAACCCTCTCTATCTCTTGGCAAAATCCTACTCATCCTGCAGATCTCAGCTCAAATATCACTTCCATGGAGACTTTGTTACTCCTCATATTGGTTAATTCAAGTCTTCTTTTAGACCAGCATTGGCAAACTTTTTCTGCAAAGGGCCAAATAGTAAATATTTTAGGTTTTATGGATCAGACACTCTCTTGTTCCAACTACTCAAGTTGCCACTATAGTGCAAATGTAGCCACATATAATATGGAAAAAAGTGGGCATAGCTGTGTTACAATAAAACTTCATTTACAAAAACAAGCTGTGGGCAGGATTTGGCCTGCAGGTCACAGTCTGCCAAATTTGTTTTAATAGATTTTAATAGAATTCTCATGCCACTTATCATAATTCTGATTAAATACTTATATGTGCAATTAATAGTTCAAGAGCTTTCTCCAAAGGTCTGTAAGTCCCATGAATATGTAAATTATGTCGTTGTAGTTGTTCACTCTGCATAAGTGCTTGGCACATAGTTTGCTTAAATAAGTGGAAGAAGGGAGATGCCTTTCTTCATATGAGAGAGGACAGCATGCTCCAAGGAGGGGACTTCTTTTGGAAGAGGTGGTTGCATTTCTCTGCTATCAGTTTTCTTCACAAGGAAGACAGTTCTCTGTCAAGGTAGTCAGTTACCAACCTGCTCGAATGCAGCCCAAGATCAGCAGCCACCACTCAGGCACTCGGGGCAGCACCACTGCCACACGGTCCCCACGCTGCAAGCCACAGGCTTCCGAGAGGACGTTGGCTGCCTGTTGGCTGATTTCATTCAATTCTCTGAAATTCCATATCAATTCCTTCCCCTTCCCATTCACCCACCACAGGGCTGGGCTCGGGGGTCGCTTGCCAGCCTGAAGAAAGAGAAGCCCTGTTGATTAGGGGGCACTGGTACACAAGTAGGTAGGATAAATTCCAAGTCTTGGGATTGCGAAGTTGGTGCTTAGTAAGCTTTTTTATCTCAGCACCTCCATACAGTCTTAAAAAGTATTGAAAACCCTAAAGAGTTGTTATTTATGTGAGTTATATCTATCAATATCTACCATAGTAGATATTAAAACAGAATTTTTATAAATGCATGCTTTCAGAAATAATAGTAATAAACCCAATTATATGTTAGTATGCATAATTTTTTATAATGATAAAGTATACTTTTCAAAATGAAAACATAATGAGGAAAGTGGCATTATTTTATTTATTTATTGCATCATTTATTCTGCAATTTCCTTTAATGTTTTAGGAGAATAAGATTGGATCCTCTCATCTGCTTCTGCATTCACTCTGTTGTGAGTACCAACATGTACCTTCTGGAAAATGCTATTGAATACTCATGAAAGAATTAGAATAAAAAGGCAAATATCGCTTTAGGTTTATTTATATCTCTATTTACTTATTTTTTAAAATTTTGTGGTAAAAATACATATAACATAACATTTCCAATTTTAACTATTTTTAAGTGTATGGTTCAGTGGCATTAAGTACATTCTCATTGTTATGCAACAATCACCACCATCCATCTCCAGAACTTTTTCATCATCCAAAGTGAAAACTCTGTCCCCATTACACAATCACCCCTCATCCTCTCTCCCCTTAGGCCCTGATAAACACCATTCTACTTTCTGTCTCTATGAATCTGACTATTCTAGATACATGATATTGTTTGAATATTTGTCCTCTCCAAGTCTCATGTTGAAATGCAATCCCCAATGTCAGAGGTGGGGCTTGGTGGGAGGTGATTGGATCATGGGGACAGGTCCCTCATGAATGGCTTAGCACCATCCCCTTGGTGATAAATGAGTTTACGTAAGACCTGGTTGTTTAAAAGTGAGTGGCACCTTCTCACTCTCTGTCTTGCTCCTGATCTTGCCCTTTGTTGTGCCTGCTCTTTCTTCATCTTCCACTATGATTGTAAATTTCTTGAGGCCCTCATCAGAAGCAGATGCCAGCACCATGCTTCCTGTACACTGTGCAGAACTTTGGGCCAATTAAACTTCTTTTCTTTATAAATTACCTAGTCTCAGGTAGTCCTTTACAACAACACAAGAACAGCCTGATACAGAAAACTGGTACCAGAAGTGGGATATTGCTATAAAGATACCTGATGATGTAGAAGTAACTCTGGAACTGGTCATGGGAAGAAATTGAAGAGTTTGGAGGGCTTAGAAGAAGACAGAAAGATGAGGAAAAGTTTGGAACATCTTAGACACCAGTTAAATAGTTGTGACCAAAATGCTGATAGAATTATGGACAGTGAAATCCAGGCTGACCGGATTTCAGATGGAAATAAGAAACTTTTAGGGAACTGAAGCAAAGGTCCCCCTTCCTATACTTTAGCAAAGAACTTGTCTGCATTGTATTCATAGCCTAGTGATCTGTGGAAGTTATAACTTAAGAGTAATGACTTAGGAAATCTGACAGAAGAGATTTTTTAAGCAACAAAGCATTCAAGATTTGACCTGAATGTTTGATGAATAGATAAATAATTTTGAATATACGTAACAATGGAATATTATTTCAGCCTTAAAAATGAAGGAAATTCTGACTTATGTTACAACATGGATAAACCTTGAAGACATGCTAAGGGAAATAAGTCAGATACAAAAGAACAAATACTGTATGATTTCATTTATATAAGGTACTGTATTAGGCTGTTCTTGCATTGCTATAAAGGAATATCTGACACTGGGTAATTTATAAAGAAGAAAGTTTAATTGGCTCACAGTTATGCAGAGTGTACAGGAAGCATGGTGCTGACATCTGCTTCTGGTGAGGGCCTCAGGAAGATTACAATCATGGAACAAGGTGAACGGGGAGCAGGTGCATCACATGGCAAGATCAGGAGCAAGAGAGAGAGAGAGCATAGGGAAGTACCACGTTTGTTTAAACAACAAGATCCCTCATGAACTCATGCATAGCCAAGGGGATGGTGCTAAGTCATTGGTGTTGGACCTGCCCCTATGATCCATATGCCTTCCACCAGGCCCTACCTCCAACTCTGTGGATTACATTTCAACATGAGATTTGGAGAAAACAAATATCCAAACTATATCACTTTGCTCCTGCCCTTCCAATTCTCGTGTCCTTCTCACATTGAAAAATACAATAATATATTTTAAAGAGATTTTTTGTCTATTTGTTAGTAAGTATTTGGGCCGTTTAACCTTTCAACTACTGTGAATAAAGCTACTGTGAACATGAGTGTACACATATTTCTCGGAGACCCTGATTTTAAGGTTTTTTTGGTGTATGCCCAGAGTTGGAATTGCCGAATGGTAATCCTATTTTTTAATTTTTGGAGAAAATGTCATATTGTTTTCCATAATATCTGTAACATTTTACATACGCATCATGATGCACAAGGGTTCTATTTTCTCTGTTTTATTGTAAAATAGACTCTTCGCATATCCCCTGAAAGAGTCTCATGGATCCTCAGGGGTTCTCAGATCATAGTTTGAGAGTAATGATGCAAAATGAAAGAGAAAACATGTTGGCAATTTTATTAGATATTTCAAAATTTGGCTCCATCAGAGTTATACCACCTTGTGGTAACACATGAGAGTGTCTGTTTCTTCACAGCCTTGCCAATAGAGTTGTTAAACCTTTGTATTTTGTTCTTGCTCATTCCTGGGCATAGACCAAACTAACTATGGGAGGAATTTAGTTTATAATTTAACTTTAAAGCAACGATGACAATAGTCTCTTCCTGAAACCAACTCCCTTCTTGTTTGCGGACCTAAACCCCTTTGTGAAATTAATGCAATTCCACGGCATTAGAATTATGGCAGATGATAGGGACCTCAATTCTGCTAAGCTATAAGCATAGTCAAGCAGTAACCAGCTGTTGTTCCCTAGCTTGCTTACTGCTTAGGAGTCATGTAACCAGAAGCCACACTTTGTAACTTCACCAATGGCTCCTGTAGATAACATCACTATTGTAAAATCTAAGACTGGCCTTTGAGATATTTTTCAGACATTTGCATTCTGGAAAATGTAGTGACACTACCTAGACCCATGACTCTATAGCAAGGAACTGACTTTACCTGTCCTGTGACTGCCTTACCCAGAAACAGACTCAGCACTTGAAGACATTTCTCACATCTCTATAATTTCATTCCCAACCAATCAGTAGCACCCATTCCTTAGCCCCCTGCCCACCAAATTGTCTTTTGATAACCCTAGTCTCTGAGCTCTCAAGGGGGCAGATTTGAGAAATATCTCCCATCCTTCCATTAAGAGGCCTTGTGATAATTAAACTATTTTTCTGAAAGAAAAAAACTCTTTTGTATTTCACTAACAAGATAGGTGCAAAAATGTTATTTCAGTAAAATTTTCAGTTGCTTTACTCTTATTATGAGGGAGGTGATAATTTTTTTATGTTTAATGGCCATCTGAGTTCACTTTTTTGTGAACTATCTGTTCATATACTTTGCCCAGTTTTATAATGAGTTGCACCCTTTTATTCTTGGTTTCTACAAGCTCATTTCATATTATTAACTTTTTGCTGTCATATGAGTTGAATATTTTCCCCACAGTTGTCATTAGTCATTTATTTTGCTAATGGTGTTATCTGTGAATGGATAAATTTTTTTATGTTTATATAGCAAGTTTACTTTTACAGATTCAGAATGGTGAGTCATGGTAGTAAGGGCCTTCCTCAATATTTAAAGGGCCTTCCTCATATTTAAAGGAAGTATAACTTTAAAAAAAATCCAGAAATCTAAATTTTTGTTTGAAAATTTTCAATTTTAAAATGTTAACCTTATGTTTTTTTTTAAGAGTACCGACACCTAGGGCCGTCTTCAGTCTAGAGGCAAGGCATTTGCAATCTCCACACTAAGACTGTTTCATAGTGTTGGGAACTTAGGACATCATGTCATAATCATGACTCTTTTTGAGCACCAATGTATTAAGCCCATGCTGGTAGCTCCACCCCTTCCCCTACCCCTAGCCAGAATGAATCCTTCCATCCTACAGAGTCACAGGACTTCAGGTGAAGGCAATTGATGGATCAGCAGTGAATGGATTAAAAGTCTAGAAGCTCAGGGCTGGGAAGGAAAATCAGAAATTTCTTCAACTTTTTATTTCTTGGATGTCTCATATTGAAGCCCTTTCGATAATTGTTGCCTCATAACTATCTTACTTGCACACCTGTATTGACAGGGACACGTGACCTAACTTTCTGGGAAGACTCAGTCTTTGATCAGTGCTGATTTGCCCCCCACTTTCTTGAGAGACAGGATCTCACTCTGTGGAGTGTGGTGGTGTGATCACAGTTCACTGCAGCCTCCAACTCCTGGGCTCAAGCAATCTTCCCACCTCAACCTCCTGAGTAGCTAGGACCGCAGGTATGCACCACCATGCCTGGCTAATTTTGTTTTAAAATTTTTGGTAGAGACAGAGTCTTCCTGTGTTGCCCAGGCTTGATTTGCTGTTATTAGATTCAAACCTACCTCTTCTGCGACCCCAGACCACTAGTCCTCATTTCACCCTGGGAGGTCACAACAGAGCATGCACAGTCTACATACAGTGTAAACAAACTGTGTGTTGGCTGTCGGAGAGTTACCAGGTTGCCACGCTCCTATGCCTTTCTTCCTCCCAAGCTCATGCAGTCTCTCTCCCATACTCTACTGCGTTCATGGAAGATGAGTGTTTTGTCCATAGCATATTACAGTGCCCTTCATGTAATAAGTACTTAACAAATATTTACTGAATTAATGGATGAATTTTAAAAGTCAACCGAATTGTCTCACTTTGTGCCTCTTTTCCACCCCATTACCTTCTCCATGTCAGCCCAGTGATCCAACACATCACTAGCAAAGTTAAACTTGGCCGGCACTTCCTGGTGGCCCCACTGCACGGATACCAGTTGCCTAGTATTAATGTGGAGAGTGCGGCTGGACATCTGAGTACCCCACAGGGTGCAAAGTCCCTGAACTTTTCGCAGCCAATGCATGTTCAGACCTGTAAAAGAAAGAAGAGACACAGGTGAGAGCTTCTTTAACCGATTGCTCTACTGATCATCAGCAGCTTCAGGAGATTCATCCCAACCTTATAGGATTCTTTCCAGGAATTAATTTGCTGTGGTTATGAGTAAATTTGCACTCAGCATCTGTTTCAGTCTCCTTGTGGGGTGCTGTTTTCTAAAGGCACAAGATGATACAGACCCAATCCTAGATCCTACGTCTTCAACACTTCTGACAGTTTTGTGAACACCCAATTCCATATAATAAATGCCCTTGTGCTAAAATACAGTGGGTATTGTATTGTTGTTCCCAGAAATTCACTCCCTTCCTATTCTAGGATTATAAATCCCCATTCATTTTTATGTGACTTCCCAGTGCATTCAGGAGGAAGAATATGTATCCACCTCTCATTGACTTTGGCTTGCTCATGAAATATGCTTTGGTCAATGAGATGTGAGTGTCTGGAATTGTATGGTTCATCAGAAACTCTCACATTTCTCCCCTCTGCCTGAGACTTGCATAACCCAGCTCATGCTGTACTTTCAGACTGGGACTCAGAACAACAAGAAATGTGGAGTTGAGCTGAGCCTAGAATGGCCACTAGCAACACACAGACCCATAGGGGGAAAATATGTATGACCAAAAGCTACTAAGATGTATAGGGTGTTTGTTACTGTAGCAAATGCTATCTAATACAAGTAGCATTCTTTTCTTTAAATTGAATCTGGACCGATACATCCTAAATCCCAGATCCTATGCATCTAGTGTGCAGGACCTAATACAATCACTTTGGAAATTATAACTGTCATAATTTTTGTTTCTATATAAATTCTTTATGGGTGACTTGTGACATTTTTGTGCACCCATCACCCGACGAGTATACACTTAACACTTACAGTATACACTTAACAGTATACATTTAACCCACTTTGTACCCTTTTATCCCTTACCTCCTTCCCATCATTTCCCCCAAGTCACCAAAGTTCATTGTATCATTCTCATGCCCTTGCAATCTATAGCTTAGCTCCCACTTATGGGTGAGAACATATGATGTTTAGTTTTCCATTCCTGAATTACTTCATTTTGAACGATGGTCTCCAATCCCATCCAGATTGCTGCAAATGCCATTAAGTCATTCCTTTTTATGGCTGAGTAGTATTTCATTGTATAGATATACACTATATATGATACTATATATTATATATACTATGTATGCATTACATATAGTATATATGAAATATGAAAAATTCTATTTTATATATGTTTACATTTTATGTAATATATATAATATGGATATTATATATATTGCCACATGCCTGTGCCTTTCTTCCTTCTAAGCTCATGGTGTCTCTTTCCCATACCATGCTGCCTTCATGGAAGATGATATATATTTTTTATATATATATTAAAAAAATCCATAAGCTTGGAATGAAGAAGGGCACAGGAGTGTGACAATATAGATATATATATAATATGCATACTATGTTATATATAATATATAGATATGTTATATATAATATATGGATATTATATATGTTATATATAATATATAAAATATAATGTAATACACATATAATATGATAATATATAATATATCCATATGTTATATTATAAATATGTTATATATAATATAATATATACTATATATTATATCTATATCTATATATGCTATACTATTATATATCTATAAGTGGTGAGAATGAGCATTCATGTCTTGTTCTAGTTATCAGAGTGAATTTATATATAAAATAGTATAGTGTATATATAGATATATAATATATGATATATAATAATATATAATATATAATAGTATGTTATGTATAGATATATAACACTATACTATTATATAATATATACAATATTATATAG